CCGGGTGCCAAGCAGAATACTAGCAGGAGGCAGAGGGACATTCTGAAGTGTCGGGCAGACAAGAATGCCCTCAGAAAACGGTTCAAAGCCGCTACGGGCAGCGAACGGGAGGGGCTGTACGAAGTGTGGGTGCATTTAAAAAACAAACACAGTGCCCTCTGTCGCGCCGAGCGTTTCTGTAACAACAGACGTAGAACCAAAAGGGAGCGAGAGAAATTCTTTAGGGACCCCTATCAGTTTGCCCGAGGTCTATTCGAGCAACCGAAGTCTGGGACTCTGGTTGTCAGTCAGAAAGAACTAGAGCTACATCTACGCAAGATGTACTCGGATAAAAAGAGGAGAGAGCCTCTCGATGACAATCCAGAGATCCTTAGCGGTCTTAAACAGCCTTCGGTGCCGAAGGTACCATTTAAAATGGTACCTCCCCTTTGGTCTGAGGTTGAGGACGTTGTGAAAAAAGCCAGCGGCAAGTCTGCCCCAGGTCCGAACGGTGTCCCGTACGTTCTTTACAAGCGTTGCCCGAAAATCCTAAAAATGCTTCACGTCTTGTTGAGACAAGCGTGGATCCGCAACCACATATGTCCAGAGTGGTCAAAGGCAAATGGGGTCTACAGTCCCAAAGAGCAGGACTCGAAGAGTCTTTCCCAATTCAGGCCCATCTCGCTGTTGAATGTTGAGGGTAAGATATTCTTCTCAGTCATGGCTCGCCGGCTCACACAGTATCTGATGACTAACAAGTACATAGATACGAGTGTTCAGAAGGGTGGTATTCCAGGCGTTCCTGGGTGCCTTGAACACGCGACCATGATCTGGGAGGCTATCCAGAGAGCCAAGCATGAGAGAACCGATTTGCACGTTATATGGTTGGACTTAGCCAACGCCTACGGGGCAGTCCCCCATAGGCTACTGTGGCGAGCCCTTCGCATGTTTCACGTACCGACACAGATCAGTCAAATGGTCGAGCAATATTTCTCCAAGTTCGCTTTGCGCTTCTCTACCTCGACGTTTACCACGAGGTGGACTGAGTTGCAGATTGGGATAGCTATGGGCTGTACGATCTCACCTATACTGTTTGTCATGGCAATGCAGATCATGTTGGACGGGGCGGCTGGCTACGGACTGGGCCTTCAAATAGGGGATCACTGGTTGCCGCCACTGCGTGCATTTATGGATGACACGACTATTATAACGGGCAGCGAGGAGTCTGCCCGCACGATCCTGGAAAGATTGGACGCGGTGGTCCAATGGAGCGGTATGCAGTTCAAACCGCAGAAGTCGAGGAGTCTGTCAATCCATAAGGGCAAAGTGTCGGCGATCAGTTTTACGGTGGCAAGGAACAAGATCCCTACGGTTCTGGAGGAACCGGTGAAGAGCCTCGGTCGCGTTTACGATTCGAAGTTATCTGACAGAGCGGAAGTCCGGCGAATACATGAGTCACTGGCTACAGGCCTGCTCGCGATCGAGCGATGCAGGCTGATCGGAAAATTCAAGGTATGGTGTCTCCAATTCATGTTGATTCCAAAGCTCCTATGGCCACTGCTAGTCTACGAGGTGACGATGACTGCGGTTGAAGCCATGGAGAAAAAAATCAACACAGCCTTAAGAAAGTGGATTGGAGCACCGCCTTGTCTGACCGACGTGGCTCTGTATTGCAAACAGGCTAAGCTGGTACTTCCGTTCAAGTCGATAACAGAAGAGTTTAAAGTCGGCAAGGTAAGACTCGCCATGCTTCTGCGCGAGTCTTCAGACCCAAATGTCATCGCTGTCCAGCCCGCTCTAAAGACTGGTCAGAAGTGGAGGGTCCTCGATGCGATAGAATCTGCTCAGAACGCACTAAAATTGAAGGAGGTAATGGGTTACACACAAACCGACCGTCGAGGCCTAGGGCACGGGAAGGTCAATTGGTGGTCAAAGGTCTCAGCCAAAGAGCGCCGAGACATGGTGATACAAACGGTGAGGGACAACGAAAACGAGGTTCGGGTCCAGAAAGCTGCCCAGCAGTCGCAGCAGGGCCATTGGGTCAGCCTGGAGAGCGCATTGCCGAGAATACTCACATGGGGTGAGATCTGGCGGATGACCCCGCTGCGACTGAGCTTTATCGTTCGTTCGGCGTACGATGTATTACCGTCCGGTGTTAACATGGTTAAATGGTCTGCGACCAACGATCCGACTTGCCCGTTGTGCAAATCGAAGCAAACTCTTGAGCACGTCCTGTCCGCGTGCAGGAAAGCTCTAGGTCAAGGCCGATACACCTGGCGCCACAACAAGGTGCTAAAGGAGTTAGCAGCCGTTGTCGACCAGGCTAGAATGAGGGCTAATGCCAGAGCCAGTTCTAGTATCGCCCCCATTCGTTTCCTCAAGGCTGGGCAGGTTCCAATCGGTAAGGTCAACAAAAACGCATTCGCTCCATCTGTACTAGACTCTGCGAGGGACTGGTTACTGGCGGTTGATCTGCCAGGACATGAACGGTATCCCGAGTTGATCCGTAAAACCGGCCTGC